TGCCTATTCTCACCCACCCTCTATGGGATAGTGTCTATAGATCAGAAGTGGAATCCTCCCGATCTTAAATTATGTACTCTTATTAGTAGTAGTGTTCAATATCAAAGAAAGTCATCAGGTCATACGGAAGCTGCAAATACAGCTCTGGTGACGTTCTGGTACTTCATCACATGTCAAGTATCCCTAAGCAATGAAAAGCACAACCTTCTTCCTTGTCAGCAAGTGAAAAAAAATGTCAAACACCCAGTTAAGTTCTCAACTAGGTAGCATTTGACATGTCCCACATTTGACATGTCCCACATTTTAACATTATTGTCAAAATGTGGGACGTGTTAATAATTCAGATTTCTATGTGAATGAGTGGGTGGCGAATAGGAGTTATTGTTATCATCAGTGCATTACATGGCGGGTTGTGAGCCAACAGGTAATTCAGTAATGCTGCAAAAAGTGGCTCACGATTAGATCAGAGGCCAGAGTGAACTGTGAGTGAGTAATTCTAAATGACACCATCAGGAACCATTAACCCAGTTATCTTGTCAGCCAGAGTCCGCAAGATAGTGAAGATGATGACAAAGAAAAAGACGACGGTAATGGTGATGCAGAGATAAAGGAACAGCTCAAAGTTAAGTAAGAAATTCTCCACCACCTCGCAGGTTCTCTTCTAGGAATGAAAACAGAAACACATGTAACCTGCATGGTAACATGCAGACTAAATTAATATGCCTATGAAATTAGCATTGAAATACTGCGGCCAAAGAAGTCTAAACTCTCTTTTTCAGTCTCTACCAAGCAACGGATAGCTCTTGATCCCACCCAGTGCACCTCTCTCCCAGTGTTCAGAATCATCAAAATGAGAGTAACCAGCAAAAAGTTAGACACCCTCTTTGCAACCACTTCTATGCGGGGCCTGGGGTAGCTTCTCCCCAGCTTCAGGGACCAATTCTCAGACTGAGAGCCCTGAGTGAACTTTTTTTTTGGTGCTAGCACCATGTCACTGCCCAAAAGGAGTCCAAGAAAATGACCATAAAAGAGACACAGGTACACCATCACAGCTTAGAAAACCAGAGATCCCTTCAGTCAGTCACAAAACCACCCAAATGTCATTTTTCCTGCTGTTTGGCTAAACTATCCACTGAGAACAAAAGTTCCAGCCTCTATGAAGTTCCATAAATAATAAATTTCTTGAAGAAAAAGGCAAACAAAAATTTAACTGAGATAAAAAGGAGAAAAAGATTTTATCCCTTGCAATGATCTACTGTGAAATAATTGAGTTTTGAAGGAGTTCCTGCCCTCTGATTTTTAGACAAGAAAGTCTGAAATGAATTGTGTATCCTCACCAATGCCTATTCTAGTTAATAAAGAGCTATTGTTTTAGAGATGATAAACCACAAATGGAATTTTCTTCTGGGATGTTGATGGCATAAAAATTTTCATTTTGTAAATGTCAGCACTCTGCATGCAGGAAACACTTGGAGGAAGATATCCACACAAGATAAAAGCCAAATAATAATCATGAGGCATTTCTCCACTCATGAAAAAAGAATAAAGACATTAAAAAGGAGGGCCTAAAAGAAGGGGAGGGAGCAAGGTCCCCTACCCCACCCCCCATAGCAAAGGTTTGAATGTGAGAGCTTCTGAGTTATGATCACAGATTCATTTCTGTGTCTAATCTATCTGTTGCAATGACTCATTCTATTATTTCCTGGAATTGATACGTTGATATTAGTTTCACAGTCCTTGCTGTAAATGTCCTTGCTGGGTGGTTGCCTTAAAAAACAAAAGAAGTAGTTTATGATCTTAGGGCATGGTAGTAGAGTAAAATAAATTCTTAAGCAAAGTCTATACTTTTTGAAATATCCATCAAATTTATTTGAAACGACAAAACACCCAGTCAATTTTTTAACAGAGAAACTGGCTACCATGTATTGGAAGTCACGTAGGCACAGCAATCTGTTGATTACATTGCATTTTTCAATATTCATCTTTTCACCTTACTTTCTCAAGCCCAGCCCCAGAGCAGCACTTAACTGTGAGAAGTAAATGATTTTTTTCTGTGTACATCTAGAGGAGTCATTTGCTGAAGACCAACTAAAAATAAAGTTTTTAATTACTTTGCTCTGCTGATAACTTTTTATTAAATGCCAATCATTTGCCTGCCCTCTGTGCCTCTCTCAGAAAAAGAAGTGCTGAGGGGAATGCAGTAGCATTGGAGAAATCAATCACTTCCACACTGGCCATTTTGAAAGTTTATTTACTAAAGTTTGGGGAGAACTGAAAAGAAAGGGTCTTGTGGAAAAATAAGTGGTGTTGTCCTGATTTTTGTCTTCATACTGGATGATTAGCTCCCTGAAAACTAACCTATATGGGCTGAAAAATATATGACCTCTGCCATGTGTGACATGCACTCTCCTTCATCATCAATTCCAACTCATTTCTCTTTCAAGGGGCTGCTGTTCCAAGCTGCATATTCCCAAGTCCAGAAAAATTCTCTCTGTGGATCTCAGTTGCACAATTATCCAAGTATGGGAGAAAACATGTGATTTTAGTAAAGGACTTGTCTAAGTTAAGGTTCCCTCTCTTTTCCTAAATCATACTTCTTTAATTTAGTCATAAAGATTTTCTACAGCATCATCCAAATCATGAAAAATCAGGTAAGGCTTAACCTTCATAGAGTAAGTATTTTAAGGTATGTTGTAAACCAACAAGTTAGAATTAGCAAATTAATGAGAAAAAGAACTGTTTTTCATACATCATCCAAATCATGAAAAATCAGGTAAGGCTTAACCTTCATAGAGTAAGTATTTTAAGGTACATTGTAAACCAACAAGTTAGAATTAGCAAATTAATGAGAAAAAGAACTGTTTTTCATACACACACACACACACACCTCTACACGGACATAACAGTGGTTTCCCACAATTCTAGGGAGGACAATTACACTTTGACAAGAGAATTTTCTTGTCTATAATTTCTTCATGGAGGGTGAATACAGAGAGAGAGAAACAAAAAGCAGATGGAAGACTTGGTTTGGTTAGAATGGCTCATACAGTTTTGTATGTTGCATTTACTTTCTTTCTCATAAGTTTTCTTACTGGAAGAGGCATTTCAAAAGCATCCTCTATGCTCACACTCCTTTCCTGCTTCATTAGATGACCACTCTGCGTCAAATCCTAAAAATTATTAGAGTGGTGATTTGGCATTTGAAAAGTAAATATATCTCAAAGTAGAAAACAAAGGTTCCGCATGTGTGAACTCTCTGATCGCTTTTTTAGTTATCCCCCTTTTAATAAATGTTCTGAAGGAAAAATATAAAGCTTTGAGTCTTACCAAAAAGAATCTTCAAAAGAGAGTGAATGAATTGAAGACAGATGGGCGATCATACAGCATATCAGAAAATCATTCTGTGCACAATTACCAATTTTAAATAGTTTTCAGTGAGGGTGAGGCTTTCCTTTATTGTCTAACAAATTAAGAAACTTTAAATATTCTTTAAAAATAAATTTCAAAGATCCCTTAAAATAAAGTTTAAAGACCTTTCTAAAATAAATTTTAAAGATTCTTTTAGGATATATTTGGTAGCTCTAAATACTTGGTACCTGATACTGGGGTATAACCTACCTCGTCACCAGCTCATGTCTTTCATTATATCAACACCTTTTATAAATATACATAATTTGTGCTCACTGGCACATCAGACAACAAAAAAGATGGTATGTATGTCACTACTGTACTTCTATAGGTTGGGAAACTATGCTTTTTGGAATACACACATGTGATGTTTAAGAACAATAACAAATAATACAGTCTCTGCACCACGAAAATAAATGAGAAAGAAAATTGAAGACTCTGTTGTTTCAATATATCTTTCAGGGAAAAACAACTATACTTATTTAAACATGCCCATTGACAATTATCAGTCCAATTTTTGAGCCGAGTGAAACCTTTTTCAAACTCTGAAAGCGAGTTGAACAAACATCTTACTCCAGCCCACTAAAGTAACACGCTCTTTCAGGTAGGAATCACAGTTTTTACCAGAGATGATTTAAGCCGTGGTTTATCTGGGTTTATGAAATTACAAATCACATCATGTTAGGTAGAATAGCATAACGGTTAACAGCATGGGCTCTGCTGTTAGACTAAGGAGGTTTGGACCCAACCTCCAACAACTGGTACCTATATCTGTGGGCAATTTACATCAAGAGACCCTTGGCCTTGGTCTCTTCATCTGAAACGGGGTTTAGTGTAATACCTACCTGCTAGTTGTGAGAATTGAGTGCTACTCAATAATAATAAGCGTTAGAGGTATCCCGATCCTCATCGTTATTAAGAACTTAAGGGATTTTAATCTAAGAACAGATTGCTGCCAATTGTGAAAAACAAAAAGCCGACTAATTTATTAGTATTTGTATTGTACCAGCTTCTGTGTGACTCCAGGATTTAATTTGGGAGGACATAGTATTTACAACGAAGATTCATCTAGCTAGCTAAGCACTGACAGAGCTAAGCATTTCACATGGATTATTTAACCTTTTTCTCACAATGACCTTGAGATGAGGTTTATTAACATTCTCATTCTACAGATACGGAAACTGAGGTTCAGAGAGTTTAAATAATAGTCTAAACTCAGCTAGTAAGAATATGATATAAAAACTGTGACCTGTGATATAAAAACAGGAAATCTAAATTCAGAGCTTTCAGAAACAACCTACCTATAGCAGTTTTCTTAAATTTTTTTTTAAAAAATTGTACATAACCTAAAATTCTTGGGATACTATCGACTAGTAGCTAAATAAATCTTATTTATTTCCAAAGGACTTTTTTAAAAATACTATACTGTAGTCTGACAATCTGAGTTTCTAAATAACAGGTTGCCATATTAGAGCAGAACTATACTTCAAATGTCCAAGTTTCACAGGGCGCTTGAAATTTAAAATTAGCCAAGCCAAACACAAGCCTTCAAAAGAAAAAATTAGAGGAGAAAAGAAATCAAAATTGTTTACCTGTTACTTGAATTGAGGGGAAGAAGTTGAGAGCCAGGAGAAGCCTGAACATCATTGTCCTAATGGTGGGCCAGGGCTCCAGCCCCTCCTTCCTGAGGAACCCAATGTGTGAGGTGAACAGAAGATGCACCTGCCAAGGCCTGAGAGTCTCTGTCATCCCCGGCCACCACCAACTTACTTCCCTTGGGGCACATGATCTAGGGACTCAAACCACAAGGCACCGTGACTGCAACCTTTCACACAGGATATTGCACTGTTTTGATGACTTTAGACTTTTACTTGTTTTAAAGGCAAGCCTTCTCTTGTCACTGAAAAAGAGTGTTGGCCACTATATGACGGGCTCATGGAAATTATTCTGTATTGATGGTATCAAGGTTGTGAAAATGGGTGCTTGAAATCCCACAGGGAATTAAGGGCAGACAAACAAGGTATCCTAAAGAAGGAATAAAGCCTCTTGCAGAGGAGAGATTTTCATAGGATGGGGATAGACTGTATCAAAAAGTCAACAAAAGGAATTATACTGAGGAGTTGGGAAATGTCTGCATAAGTGTTTAAAGAAGTTACAAATATTAGGAATTTAACATTTGTTTGGACATAAGGTAGCCCTATGGAACATTTAGCACACAGTGCCAAGCACCACCCCCAACTCGCTTTGAGGAACTTTGCAAAACACATCCCACTTGCAAGCACCCACCCAGCAGAGCAGCTGAAGGAGGTTCCCTAAGCAAAGGGAAAGTAAAAAAAAAAAGCATTGTATGTTCTTAGGGGGACAGTAAGGCAACCAAAAGCTCCTTGGTGTCTCATGCTGTCAGTCCCTTAAGGACTCATTCAAGGTTAAGTTACCGGCCATAACAAGAGGCTCCATCGCAGGATCCCCAAGGCCTATAACCACCCCCCGTACCCTTCTAGTACTTCCAGGCCTTCTGCAGATCCAGGCTTTCTGCAGATAAGGCCATTCCACCAGCATGGCTAACTCCGCTCTCCTCTTCTGGCACCTGGCTGAGTATCTCGTCCTTGATGGCTTCCTCAAAACCTTTTCAGTAATTTTTTTCTCCTTTTCTGATAATAATCTAAGCTTAATATAATTACCCTAGTTAGATCCTATCTAGGTTTTGTGCATGTTTATTTAAGATCACTTGTATTGCTTTTTATTCTGACTATAGAAGTAAGACATTTTATATTAAAAAAAAAATTTTAAGATAAATATGAACATTAAAGCAAGACTCGCCCATAATCTTACCATCCTAATATAAACACTGTTAATATTCTGATCCACTGACTTTCATCTTTTTTTCTGTTAAGATTCTTACATATTTAATACCATGTTTGATTTAGTTATAGTTTTCAACAGATACATACTATTTTCTGTTATATCTTGAACATTTTCTCATGTTATTTAGGTATTTTTCATAAACATCATTTGTGATTGACTATATAGCATCTAGTTAATATTATGTATATTGTAGTATTGAATTGAGTCAAACATAGCTGGAAAAGAAAAAGTGCAGTTATCTGGTCTCACTCTTTTGTCTTGCAGAAGAGGAAGCTGAAGTACAGAGAAGTTAGTTGACTTATACAAACTCACAAAACAATAATTAAGTGTATTTGATTTTATTACTTGACCAACACTAATTGGTTTTCATTCTTTAGAATAAACAGAAACACAAACTTTGACATTTGCCTTCCTCTTCTTTTAACATGTATCACACTAAAGAAGCAAATCATTTTTTAGAGCCCTTTCACATTTGTTCTTGAAATTCAGTGGCATTCACATGTTCTAAGAGGTGAAAATGATAGAGAAAAAATAAGGGACTAGTGAACAGGGTACTGAGACACTACTACATTTCCAATAATATACACCACCCACTTTACATTCCTGATCTCATTTAGTACCCAACCTGTGAGTAAGTTTCTATTATTTTCCCCAGTTTACAATGAGAAAACTGATCCCAAGTGAGGGTTAAGAAGTTTCAGGAAGCAGTGGAGCCAGGATTAGAACCTCGATCTTTCTAACTTGAATTCCTATGCCCTAATCGCAGCACTATACTCCCCCTCTACTGTCAGTCCTCTCTGGAATTGTAGAGTCCTTCAGAACACGATAAGGATGTGCATTTTGGCTGCAAGACATCTAACACAGTGTCTCATCAGAGCCTAAGTGGAGACACTAAGGAAAAGGGGAAGTGGCCCAAATGATACTGGGAAGGCATAGTTAAACTGTGCTATATTACAATGCATCTGTATTTTTCTGGAAATATTTCAGTTTCCTTAAATCCACACATGCTCTTAAAATTCATAGACATATGCATCATGATGAAACAAACAACCTTAAACAATCAACAGATGTACTGAAGTCCTAACCACATGGCTTGTTAGATAAAAATATAATACAGGTGACCAAATTCTATAGGCTGTTTAAAACATAATAGGAACTAAGCCTGGGGGTAAGACACTGGGAAATGGAGGTGTAAAAATGAATCTCAGGGCCTTCGCCACTTACTGCTCTCTGGCTAGGATGCTTCTCTCCAGTCTGAGTAATCACACTCATCCTTCCAGGTTCAGAGTAAACAGAACTCCTCAGAGATGCTTTCTCCATCACCCACACACACCCATCTAAACCAGGTCTCCCAGCTATAACCTCCACTGCACTCTTTATATGACGGAATGTGTGATGGAATGCTGTGAGGAAAAAATAACTCCAGATTTGTTTGTGCCGTTATCTATTTAATGTCTATGTCCCCCATTAGACTACAAACATTATGAAGGTAGAATTCATGTCTCTCTCATTCAAAGCTGTATCCTCTGTGTCTAGCACCTAGTGAATACTCCTTAAGATATTTACTGAAGGGATGACACAATCCTCCATTATTGCTCTCCTGATGCCCGGTCAATATGGCTGCAATTTCAGATTTCTCTCTCTGGTACTCTGATGGGGGTGTTACTGTCCTGCCTGGCTTCTTACGGATGGGACACTAGAAATATTTCAGCTCAAACCACACCTTATCACTAGCTAGGACTTCAGCCCCATTTTCCTGTCTGCTCTCCTACCCTGAGCTGTGCTTGACAGTGTAAGAGACTCAAAGACCTGCTTCCTTCACAACTCATTCCTCTTACAGCCAGGACCAGAGTCATGCCTAACCACTCAGCATCTCCTTCCTCTCTCTCTCCTGGGCACGTGTGGTTCCCATGTGTGCCATAGGAAATAAAGAGCTTCCTACACAGAATGCATACCCAGACTAAGTTTACCACTTTGAATGCAAAAGAGGAAAGATAACTAACTTGGGAATTCCAATGGCTAAATGCACAAGACTTGAAGTCCCACAGCCTTAGGCGTCGAATTCCAGTCGGGCCATTTTATAGCTATATAATACCTAAAAGGCATAGCTTCAATTCCTCATGTATAAAATAGGAGTGAAAATACTTCACTTGATATGTAATTCATATCTCACACAATGTGGGAATCTACTCCACCCCTAAGATAGAAATAAGATTTAATGAATCTCCATTGCACACTGATTACAGAGGCTGAATAAATGTTTGTTGGATCAGCCAGAATGGATCATTGAATATATGTTTGATATATTTATGTGGATTGATTTTTACAGCATGAGTGCCACCAGAACCCTAATTTAGAAATTAGCATAGTATTTCCCCTTGATGCACAATCCATTAATAGCATAAACCAGTATAAACTACAAAGTATCACTGAAGAACCTTTAAGCATTATAGTTGTCAAGATGGTTAACAAGAAGCACTGTGGCTATCTGTCATACAGAGCAAGCCTAAAGGATCTTCTTTGATCTAAATTCCACCTAGAAACTTCTCTTTCATTTTAGTTTCTAATTTTCCCCAAAGCTCTGCCTTACAAATGTTCAAATGCTCACATGATGATTGTGGGAAAATAATGAAGCCCGAGAGTCTCTCTTTGAGCTTTGTGGTATTGTCCCAGCTGCTAGTATGAAAAATTTACTCAAAAAAATAGACAAAAATGTAGTTAAGAAAGTTATGCATATTGTATCACAAGCCAGCAAGACCAAAACCTGAAAAAATTATGCTAAGTCTAAAAGACATGAAAAATAAAAAATGTCTGCCATGTTGATTGACTAATCCCACTGAGTAAACAAGTATTACAAAAAGATTTGTAGAAACAATCTATGAGACTTTGTCAAGGATTACATGAAAAATATAGTGAAAAATAGCCTAAAACAATTACCCAAAAATCTTCTGACCACTTACAGAGATAGGCCTATCACTCCAAGTTACAAAAGCTGTAGCTAACTAATTTTACAGCTTTTTTTTTTTAGCTTTTAGCTAACTGCTTTGCAGACTTCCTGCTGCCAGGTATTGTGCTAAGAATTACGCATGCGTTGTCTCATTTAATCCTCACTGCAACCCTAGGAGCTTGGTACTATTATTACCTCTGTTCTCTAGATAAGGAAACAGAAGTTTAAAGAGGTTGAGTAATTTACCCATGATGACACAGTAAGTTGCAAAGCAGGGATTTGAACTCAACTCATCTCACTTGAAAAAATGAACTCCAGATTCAAGTGTCACAGGAGAGGTAGATACGGTCCAATCAACCAGTGGCTTGACTACTTGATTGACGGAGCAGTGGTTAGGAGCCAGGTTTTTAAAGAGAAATGTACCTTCTTTACAGGCACATCTCACCTTGAGCCACCAACTTCATAAAGATTCAGCTAGAATTCTATATGTGACTTGCAAAGTCTTCCTCAGTCAGGAATATGTGGTTCTGATTACTGCCCTGCTGACCTTATATTCATGCAGATCCAGGCAAGGGAAGAAGCAAAACTTGTACAGTCTTGACATCATCCCAGAGGAATTCATCCTGACCAGGCCAGGAATTTTTGTACTGTCAGCAAGAGGGAAACATTATGAACCCAGGCAATCTGATCTGAGATCCAGGACGTTTCCATGACAAAAAGTTTGTTCACTTGATCATCTGGAAAAAAAAGCCAAAGGGGAGTGGCAGGTACATAAAACATCAACTGCCATCATTAAAAATCAAGGAAGGCACTACTCATCAGACCCCGGCTAAATCACTATGACAGAGTAAACTCTCAGATCACAGGACCCCAAGAGATTGTTATCAGGAAAGTCTACTGTTCTCAAAATCCTATTATTCTGAGAATCTAATGGTCTCACTGAGCCGTGTTCTTTTGGTCTCACAGGA